TTTATAAGAGCATGAAATTAATCAAGACATTCTTATGTTTGTAATCCAAACATATATTTCAAATATGTCATCAGCTCTTACTTCTCATTTGGAAACTCACTAAATCGCAATGACTTCTCAAACTCAATAGTTCAAACGATAGAACCATTATTAGTTTTTTTTACAACTTAATCCAATACTATCTTTTAAGAAACGATCATTTGATTCCAAACTTAGAATAATCATATTTCCATTCATAGTCCTTTTAAATTCATGTTGAATATCTTAATATTCATCAAAATCTTTATCTTGTTTTGATGAATTCCAACCAATATTATTGGATTTAATGGAAATAGCTTCTTGGAGTATAGAAGTATCATTGAATTCTAAATTTCCAAACAAGAAATCAGTGCATATTTCTATTGAAATCATAGACCATTATGTTCTAACTGATTCTCATATTCTTTGGATCTATCTGCTTTCATTTTTCTCTTGAAAGTCCATTTATAACCTAGTGGTTTACATCCTATATGTATATCCACTAGCTCCCATGTGTGATTTTGCAAGACAAAATCCATTTCTCTTTTAATTGCATCTCTCCATTGAGGTCTTTCTTAGGAATCTATTTCACTGTTAGTTCATCTTTGAAAGTTTGAGGCTCTCTTTCAACCATATAATTGTAAGAATCATTTCCAAATGATTTCTCAAATCGTGCCCTTTTACTCTGATGAGGCTAAATTTCTTCCTCCAATTCTTCTTCATGAGAAAATTTGTTATGCCCAATTGTTTTGGAGCACTTATCAAAACATAAAAAACACATTTTCATTTGTCGATTCCATTAGCATGCCTTTATGAATCTCCAACATTTTAGACTCATATAGAGGAAAACAATAAGAACTACTATTGTTTTGTGCATAACCAATAAAGATGCAACCAACAATCTAGTGTCCAATCCTTACAACCTTGGGGTTAGGTATAAAACCTTTGCGAGACACCCACACATTTGAATGTATTTGTAAGATTGTTTTATATCCGACCATAACTTGTATGGTGTTTTATTCGTTTTCTTTTGGGATACCTTATTTAAAAGGTAGTTAGCTTATAATATAGCTACCCCCACATTCACCGGGGAAAACATAACTTATCAACATGACATATCTTTTAAGATACGATTTTTCCTTTCTATGACACAATTCTTCAAATGGTGATATATTCACATCCACAAGCACTTTTTAGTACTTTTAATCTTTTCGTTGAATTGATTGTCAACTTCAGTTTTACACACTTTAAACTTGCATATTGTGTAATCTTTACTTTTAAGTAAATTTACATAGCAAAGTTTAGTGTAATCGTCAATAAAAGTGGGAAAGTACTTATTCCACATTTACATGAATTCGACTTCATATCACACACATTTGTGTGAATCAATCCAAAGGGTTTAGTTTTCCTTTCAATGGACTCGAATGTTTGGTGTATTAACTTTGATTCAATACATGTGTTGCATCAATATTTTGACTTATATGAAAGTGAGGTATGTGTTAAAGTTTGATTAACCATCTTAATGTGTCAAAATTAACATGTCCAAGTCTAGCATGCCACACATTAGAGGATTTAAGCAATTAAGCGGAAGAGTTATCCCACTCATTGATAATAGGCTCATTAGTCGATATATAGAATTTAAAATTCCACCATCCGCATAGACCTTGCCTACAAACATACTTTTTTTAGGTTGGTACAAACTTATTGGAATCAAACACTAAACAAAATCCATGTTTGTTCAACAACCATCCAAACACTAATTTCTTCCTAATCTATGGAACATACAACACATCATTAAGTGTCAGCTCTTTTCTATGTGATATCATTTGTGGAATGTTTTAAACACCAAATTTAAGTGTTTAGAATCACAATTTCAAGAATAAATTTATGCCTCAACTTGGACAACCTTATAATTCTTGAGTCACTCCCTCTTTGAGCACACATGGCGTGTAACACCCATATCAATCCATCACTCAGTGAAGTTAGCATCCATAGAGTTTACTTCGGAAATCATTCCACTTTGGATGGTGACATTTCTAAAATAATTTATACACTAAATATAAATGTTTAGAATTCTAATTTCCAGAAAATATGTTTGCCTCTTGCTTGGACAAAACTCAACATAATTAAAATATATATTTGAACAATTATGAAACTTGATTTCGGATGCAGAAATTCTAAAATTTGATTTCTCATGCAGAAAACTGATGTATAAATTATGATATCAGAAAATCTGATGTTTTCTTTCAACAAAACTATTTAAAATGTGATGTTTTTAAGTAAAACCAAACTGTTTTCTGATTTCCAAAGCTATTTTACATAAAATTGAAGTCGTTTTTGACTAAACAAAGCCTTTTTGTTTTACACAAAACAATGCAGTCTATTCAAGACTGCTTTAGCCCCACTTAAACGTGTCAAAAATGAAATCTAAGTTCATAATTCAGCAGCCCTGTCTCTTAGCTTTCCACGGACTACTTTCACAAGTTCATACGATTTTTCTACAATTTATTATGAATTTTACAAAACTATGTATCATAGCTGCTAAAAAACTAACTAGTCAGTGAAAATCGTATTTTTCACCATAGTTAGAGTTGTTTCCAGCTTTCGGCCAAAAGTAATGAAATGAAGTAGACTCATATTCAAAACTTTGAGAATTGGTTTCAACAAAAAATGAGCATACATGACAAAGTTATGATTTTTCAAAGATTGGGATAGATTAGAGCATTTCACAGCAACACGTAAATTGTGTTTTTGAGTTAAGCTAGCTTCTTAACTCATTAGGTACTTAATATAATCAATACCAAAGCTGAAAAATTAGATACTTAATTACAAATACATGTCTTAATGACTTTAATGACCAAATATGCTTCAAAATCACAAACAATCTTTTTTTTTTTTCCTTATGAAAATCGTAAAATATCAAAAAAAAATGCAAGTAAAATTGTTTCCAATTTGTAGTTCGTTTCGTACAAACGAATTTGTTTTAAGATTGTAGGAATAATATTCCAGTAATGTATGAAAACAAACAAGAAATAGGACAAAGTTGAGGCATGTGTTTAACACATTGTCCTTAAAACAAATTCGTCCGCTATCGAGTGTTTGTTTCCCAGGATACAACAACTAGAAGTGGTTCTTCTAGACCACCCGAACCCTTATTAGGCCTGGATTTTTACCTTTAATTTAGCAAGAAAACTAAGAACATGAATTAGAGAAGAAGAGAGTTTTTGTATTCTTATTGCTGTCCTCAAATGGTGTATGGTAGTAGTATTTATACTATACATTTTATAACCTCCCATTTAAACACCTCTATTAATCACAAAATTAATGTGTGTTAATATGTAATTAAATTGTAATATTAATTACAATTTCAGTTACAAAGGAATGAAATATTTGCAAGAAAGGTCCATGAACTTTTCTTTTTCTTTCTCCCAACCATTAAACTCTTTTATTTACTTCTTTCAACACCCTTCCTTTAATGATTAATTTCTCATTCATATAAATCCATTTTGGACATGTTAAAAAAATGGGAAAAAACCCATTTTTATAAATTGGTTAACACCAATTTTCCAACAATATTTATATAATCAATGTTGTGGTCATGCACCTAATGTAGTCCGAGTATTCTGAAGGTATACCCTTAATTGTTTACTTTATTTGTTCACCCGTCAACTATGGAGATACAAAATGCTGCTTTGGGGGACGAAATTAATATACTATGTTCTTGTAATGAAACCTAATTAAAATGTTTAAGCTTTTAGTCACTCATTTAAAAGAACAAGTTCTTTTTCCCTTCTCAAGTTTTTTAGGTAAGATCTAGACACAATATATTGCATAATAAGTTTTTGTTGAACAAATATTTTGACCAAAGTTGTTTGTTGTGGCTGTAAAGTTGGCGATTAAGGACATTATTATAATTGGAATTTTTGTTCACAAGCTTGATCAAATTGAAAAGGTTTAACTAATTTTTAGTCATTGTGTTTCTTTTAGGCTAATAAAGCCCTCATTTTGGGGGACTCATATATTTTGGCACTAGATTCGTCAAAGTACAACTTATGCCATATTTTTATCCAAATACAAAAAATAGCAATGTACTTTCATATTTGTGTATTACAATATCCTACTCCCACTTCTTTCTGTGATATCACTGTAAGTTTTATATATAAATATTATAATTTCAATATTCTTTATGAATTTTCCTAATTCTTGCACAATTTATTTGGTTTTTAAAATCTTTCAATTAGGCTTAATACATTATAAATTTTAAGAGTAATAAGTTATGGATTTTGTAGGTAAAGCTTTCATCGTGCCAGAGAATTGAGTTAATTCCAAAAAGGAGACAAAACTATCAATTTTCGACAATATTATTCTATCAGATTGCAGCCAGTTGGTGTCTCATACAGATATGCAAAACCATCAACTTCCTGATCTCAGAAGTCTTCAAGATGTGAGTGACGTTGTACGTAAGAAAGTACGGATTATGTTCACACACCTGAATGCTTTTCTTTTTTATTATAATATCATTCCGATCATAAATTATAAATAAATAATCGTATCCCATGAAAAAATTGCCATGTTTTACGCTTTACCTTTACATGTATTAAGTATTTGAATGGTTAATAAAATGTCTAAAAGATACTATATTACAAAAATTAAATAACCTTGCACTCGGGAAATAGAAGAAGAAGAAACAGATGAGAGTAGAATTGTAAAATTACATGATAATACTATAGAATATTTCAACCATTCTTTCATTCTATGCTATAAAAAAAAAGTACAAAGCTTATGAATAATCTGTCTTGACATTTGTATCAATAAGGTGTCTATTTCAATTTTAATCTAAATTACTTCTGTTATATATGTAGAATGAATCGATAAATGAAAGCTTCTTTTTCTTTGGCTGAAATTTGTATGAAAAAACTACGATTTAACAAAAATCCGACATCGATGTCAATCTAATGCAACATCATTGACATGTCATCTTCTCATGGTAGGATGACACGTTCATTTTCTGTTACTGTAGACACGACCCCACCTTCTGTTGTACTTTCGTGGGGTTCTTTATCATTTCCATGCTCTAGTTTCTTGATATTAATTTTGAAGGTGGTCACAGGGATAATCGGCTCAGTAGTACTAGTAGCTTTTTTTGACAGAACTGGAATGATACATGGGAGACAAAGTGACATGCTATACTGAAAAGTGAGACAGACTGTAAACACTGATAATAACCTGTTAAAACCAATAAAAAAACGGTAAGCCAAAAGAGCATTCATAAAAATTAAGATGAAATTATATGAAACGAGATGACATGTATTGAGTTTGCCACCTGTACAAGTTAGGAGCACCAGAACCAGGAGAACGTACTCCATATATCAACACGCCCGCGAAAACAGACCATCCGATAAAGAACAAATCCAACCATATTTCTAATAGTTTGATTCTGCAACAGAAACAAGATCTTTAATTAAGGAAATAGATAACATATATATATCTTTCATTGCAAGACGGAAAATTTTCACTACATACCTGTAGACAGAATCATTGGATGTTTCATTGCGATTGTAAAAACGCCAAAAGAGAAGAGCAAGATTTGCAACGCATCCACAAACGTAACAGATAAGACATGCAAGTAAAGAAGCACGAAGGGTGCTCATGTCTGGAGATGTAGAAGAAAACCATGGCTGCTATTATTTGGCTCATTGTCATAACCAATTCGAAAGAAATCCAATAGCCAGAACTCTCTAACTCTAACAACCTTCGACGACCATTTGTCTCATTCGAAGGTTGAAGAGCAGGATCGTTTGTTATATCAATCACATGCACACTGTCACTGTCATCATCACGGGTTTCTGATCGCTCCATTACTAGTTGTTTGAGCTTCAAGCCTCACGAGAGTCTCTCGCTCTCTTTCTCTTCTCGTATTTTCTTGTTGGATTCTCCCTATGATCGGTAGTATAAGGTTGTTTTTATAGGTGCAATATTTGTATTCGTGTAGGATGTAGATATCAAACAAGATACAATTTCTTGTGTTGCAAGACAAACGAACAACACGGAACAAAAAGAAACCAGAAAATAGGGGTGAAAGAAAAACGGAGGAAAGGAATAAAAGTTGGGTTAAAGTTGCAAACTATTACACCTATATACTAATTTAAAAGACTCCCTATACTAACAATTTGAAACCTAATTGGACTCAAAAGCATGCTGGAATAAAAATAAAAAAAGACTTATAAAAAAGAAAACTTTCCTATTGCTCTTCAAGAAAAACTGATTAAACTTAAAAGACTTATAAAAAAAGGAAACTTTCCTATTACGTGTAAGGAAGTAAGGATACCTACGGTGGGCTAGAAAAGATCCCGAAGGTTAAGCGCAAGAAATCTACTTCAAAAACAGAATTTACCCTTTTGGTACCTTACATTTTGGCTCTTGTTATTTTCTACCCAGATTTTTATTTTTATTTATTTATTTATTTTTTGCTTACATAGATGATACTTTCCAGAAATGAAAATTTACCCCTCAACTTTATAACTTTGATAATTGATTTTGTCTATTTAAATTAATTACATTTTTGGGTTTCCTCAATGACATTTAACCCCAATAACAATTTAAATGTCACATAAACCCCTTTTAATAAATTCAAAACTTTACTAATTCCTTCTAATTAATTTAAATACAAATAAACAAAACCACCAAAGGAAAGAAAGAAGTAGGAGAAAAGAGTTTTCGCAGGAAGTTTGTTCTGCCGGATTAGCTTGCCAGAGTAGGGAGTGGGGGACGTGTAGAAGAGCTTGTTGTGACGTACATTGAGGTATTATCGTGGCGTCCATTTTCCCTCTCCTTTTTATCATTATTTTTCCTCCTTTACCACCGTCGATCACCACCAAAACCACCATCACCGGCATCGTCCTGTCATCGGTGTGTGCTAGCCCTCTGCCACCACAGACCACCGTGCAAGGTGGTTATGGGTTCTGAGTATGCAGCCCCTTTGATCAGCGTTTATGTTTCAGCCTCTTGATTTTCATTTAGATTAGTTTAGATATGTGTATGTGTGTTTGTCATCACCACCACACCACTACCACCGGCAACATCTTGTCGTCGGTGTTCCTTCCAGCACCACCACCATGCCATAGTTTCGGGGGAGGCTGTGGGTTGAGAGACTTGCAAGTTTATAGTTTGGGATAGTAATAAAGCTTAAGTAATTCTTTTTATCATTGTACCTCCTTTTATGGTGGTTTGACTACCGTACCACCACCATTGACCACCATAGCACCACCACTAGACCACCTATTGTTGGAAGGTTCTGAATAAGTCCTTAGTCCAGCCATAATGCCTATGTTTAGCGTTTAGTGGATACAGTTGCAAACTTATTACTAAGTGAAAGTTATGAATTTATGTTATTGAGCCTTGTTTTGAAGACTTTTCTTAGCCAAACTATTACTCCATTAAGTCACTTTAGTTCACACATCTTAATAGCCTGTTAAGTGTCCTTTTATCTACTAAAAGTAATGGGTTTAAATTGTAACAGCCCAAAAACAGTGATAATTTTTTTCATTTAAAGACCAACCATTTCATTCATTACATGTTTCAAAAACCATCACCAAGTGTAATATCAAAACATCATAGTATAATTATTCAATATATGGAAAAATCATGAGGGGGGATGTTGTGGCATCACGTCGGGCCCTTCCCTTTCGAACCGGAAGTACCTGAAACCATAAACATAATATGTAAGCACAAAGCTTAGTTAGTTCCCCAAAGTACCACATAACAATAATACAATTGGGCTTGACCTTGGGGTATAATCCAACCCACCATACATATATAGGCCCAGCCCTGGGGTATATTTCAACCCGATCAATACATATGGGCCCCGCCCTGGGTATCTTTCAACCCAATCATACAATATTGGGCCCCACCCTGGGATCTATTTAAACCCGAACATACGATAGTGGGCCACACATTGGAGTTTATTTCAATCCATCATACAAACTCAAATAAGCCACATAACAGCTACCATCCTAAATAACACAATAATGGACCGACATTGGTGCCTTCGACCCATGGATACAGTGAGAAGACTCACCTCTCAGATGGATAAAAAGTTGAAACAATACGCTGCTTTGAAACCAACTCTACTGGTCACATTTATAAATAATAGTGCCTAAAACTCAGAATACAACTCAAAAATACCCAAAATACCCTTAGGTCAAACTTGATCAAAATCCAGGTCAAAGTCAAAGTCAAAGTCAACCGGGTCAACTCGGTGAGTATGTTGGGCGTACTTAACATGTACATGGGGCATACTGCGCGCTTGAACAGAATCAAAGGGTTGACCACGTACGCGCGGCGTACCCTTTGGTACGCCCATCGTACACGGCTACCACCCATTCTTCTCATTAAGAGCTTAATCCTTAAGCTATTTCGTCTAAATTCCAGATCTAGCCCACAAATAATGTTCTGAACCATAAAGTTTCCAACTGTATGCTATTGCATGGCTATTAAGACCTCAACATCAAAACCCTAGCCTCTTGACCCATTAAGACAACCTAGATCATGCATAGAAAGAAACTAATGCCCAAGATCACATTTTTATGACTTATCACACCCTAAAACCTCTTAATAAAATATTCATCAAAGGTTGGAGCTTTATACCTCCAGAAGATGCACAAGGGAGAGTAGTTGTTGGATCCAAAGTCTTTAGTGAAACACTACTACTTCAAGTTTCTTCCTTCACTACCAGGAGCACCAAAATGGCACCAAAATGACTCTCCACGCTTCAAAACACACTCGCACACTTTAGGGTTTCGAAATGAGGACAAAGATGGATGGAGGCTGGAGTTAGGAGAGAGTATGGGGCTATAAAGATGTTTAAATAGGGTCCAAACCCTAAAAATTAGGGTTTGCACCCTGACCACGTACGCCCAACTTACGCATGCATGGCCCAATATTACGAAAATGCCATTAGGGACTAACTTTGCAAACAAATCACAAACCATGGTTCAAAATGGAATACCTTGAAATCAAGATGTTACAACTCCCCCCCCCCCTCACCCCCACTTAAACTAGACTTCTTCCTCGAAGTCTGCTGGCGCGAATAAATCAGGATAGTGCTCTCGTATCTCCGCCTCGGGATCCCACGCCCATTCAGAACCCTTCCAATATTGTCATTGGATCTTGACCAAAGACACCACCTTGTTATGCAAGGCCTTCATCTTCCTATCCAAGATCGTTTCTAGTCTCTCCACATAATTTAGGCGATCATCAACCTGAATATCATCCAAGAAAACAAACTGTGGACTCATCGGCCACACACTTCCGAAGCTGAGAAAAAATGGAAGATGTTGTGGATCTGGCTGAGCTCGTCAGGCAAATCCAGTCGGTAAGCAACCTTTCCCACCCGGGTAGAAATCCTGCAGGGACCAATAAATCTAGGCCCAGTTTTCCCGTTTCCGAAATCGGATGACACCTTTCCAAGGTGACACCTTCAGAAGCACCAAGTCCCCTACTCGAAACTCGAGGTACGAACGTCGTCAGTCTGCATAACTCCTATGTCGGCTTTGTGCGACTCGCAACCTGTTGCGCACCTGCTGAATCAACGCAGTGGTCTTGAGGACCACCTCAGTACTCCCCATGACCTGATGTCTGACCTCCCCCAGCAAACCAGGGTCCTGCACCTCCTCCCATACAACATCTCAAAAGGTGGTCGGTCAATACTGGCATGATAGTTTTTTTGTAAGTGAACTCGACCAGTGGAAGGTAAGTATCCCAACTTCCTCCGAAATCTAATACACATGCCCGGAAAATATCTTCGAGTGTCTAAATCGTCCGCTCGCTCTGACCGTCATTTTGGGGTGGTATGTTGTACTAAAATGCAATTGAGTATCCAAATCCTCATGAAACTTCCTCTAAAATCTGGAAGTGAAACGAACATCCCGATCCGAAACCACTTAAATTGGAACTCCATGTCGAACCACCACCTCCCGAATATAGATGTCAGGTAACTTCTCAGCGGATATACTCTCGGCAATTGGTATGAAATGTGCATTCTTCGTCAATCTATCAACAATGACCCAGATAGAATCAACTCCATGGGCTTTTCTTGGCAGCTTTGTGATGAAATCCATGGTAATCTCTTCCCACTTCCACATGGGAATGGGTAACGGTTGCATCTTGTCGTGGGGTCTCTTTTGTTTAGCTTTGACTTTTGTGCAAGTCAAGCACGACTCTACGAACCATGCTATCTCCCTTTTCATACAGGGTCATGAATAACTCAACTTCAGATCCCAATACATCTTTGTGCCTCCCGTATGGATTGAGAATTTTGATTTATGAGCCTCCTCCAGAACTGCCTACCTCACCCCACCAGTAGTCGGAACCCAAAATCTACAACACTCAGTCAACAATACCCGACTATCTCTGAAAAATAAAGGAATCTTCCTCCTGATTCGCCCTGCCTTCCAATTTTCCTTCTTCAATCCCTCCACCTCGGCCTTTTTGATCATATCCAATAAAGGCGAAGTAACAACCATCCTCAAGAAAATATCCATGAGAGGATAACTCATGGCTTTACGGTTCCAAGCATCGGCCACCATATTGGCCTTCTCAGGGTGGTATAGGATCTCGCAATCATAATGCTTTACAACATCTAACCATCTCC